ATACTAACTAACTCTACTTCAGTTTGTGCAGTAAAACCTTGAAACCTATCTATACTAACTCTACTTCAGTTTGTGCAGTAAAACCTTGAAACCTATTCATGCTAACTCTAATTCAGTTTGTGCAGTAAAACCTTGAAACCTATTTATACTTACTGCACAAACTGAAGTAGAGTTTGTCAGCCAGATGGGTGCCACTGTAATGTGTCAGCCAGATAGACACCACCGTAATGTGTTAGCTAGATGGATGCCACTGTAATGTGTCAGCCAGATGGGTGCACTGTAATGTGTCAGAATGTCAAGAAACTTGCTTGCACCAAGGTGGCAACTATGACCATCAACGAACACCAGCATTCTGAGACCAGTTCACTCACTAGCTGAGCTACAAGGGTTCAAGTTCCAACCAAACAACTCTAGTGTGTCTGTGACAATTCATAGACTTATTTTACAACACAGGTGTCACATATGAACTTGTTTCACACTAGGAACAGTTAAGTATTACCCCATGAATAATTACAAACAACTTAAGTGTTCAACAAGTATGGACTTTTTTTATAAAAAGAAATGTCTTAAAAGACTAGTTTGTATAGATAGGTTTCAAGGTTTTACTGCACAAACTGAAGTAGAGTTAGTTAGTATGAATAGGTTTCACTGCACAAACTGAAGTAGAGTTAGTATGAATAGGTTTCAAGGTTTCACTGCACAAACTGAAGTAGAGTTAGTAGTATAGATAGGTTTCAAGGTTTTACTGCACAAACTGAAGTAGAGTTAGTATAAGTAGGTTTCAAGGTTTCAGTGCACAAACTGAAGTAGGGTTAGTTAGTATAAATAGTTTCAAGGTTTTACTGCACAAGCTGAAGTAGAGTTAGTATAAGTAGGTTTCAAGGTTTTACTGCACAAACTGAAGTAGAGTTAGTTAGTATAAATAGTTTCAAGGTTTTACTGTAATGTGTCAGCCAGATAGACACCACCGTAATGTGTCAGCCAGATGGATACCACTCTAATCGTAATGTGTTAGCCAGATAGACACCACTGTAATGTGTCAGCCAGATGGGTGCCCTAGAGAAAGAAAGGGTATGAGCGTTGTATGCTTAGGTTTTCAAATAATGTTTGATAAGGTGCCTCAAAAGATTGGTTAAGAAAATCACTTTGATATGAGTTGGAGAAAGACCAGTTAGTTGGATAGGAGAAATCTGCCCTGACTGCAGAGCTTGAACCCAGTAAGTTCGATATACTGATGCTCTTACCAACCGAGCCACCACAACTGAAGTCTTCACATACACACAAATACTCTATGTGCACCTTCAAGCTGGAAACACCATCACATACATACACGAACAACACACTAGCCCAAACACTGAGCCAAGTATCTACAAAGGTGGGACTGCTGAGCTCAGCTGTGTGTCAGCCAGATGAATGCCACTGTAATGTGTCAGCCAGATAGACACCACCGTAATGTGTCAGCCAGATGAGTGTCACCGTAATGTGTCAGCCAGATGGATGTAATGGGGAGATTGGAAATAGGGAGTTTGGAGCATAAGGAGTTAATACTTTTAAAATCTATCAGATTTAAAAATAGACTTAAGATAACCTTTGTTGCTGTTGTAATGTGAGGGTTATTAGGAACAATGGAATATTGTTAGACTTTAAATGAGATGAAAGACTATGATACAATGGGAATTTTGAAGTTACAGGTTATGACTTACTTAATAGTGATAGACTTTTTCAAGGGGTATTGATGTTGCTTTTTATATAAGTGACGATAAATTGTAGTTTGTTGGGATTGAAGACAGAAATAAAGCAGTCAATCTACACGGGTTATGGTCGAGGGTTTCAATGGTAGAAAGCTTGTAATTTACAATTGTTATAGACTAATCTGCTCAAAGGATGTGGTCAGTGAAAAATTGTATAATAGATCAGGGCTGCTTTTAATAAGAGTACTGATGCAGCAATTGTGGGAAACTTTAATTTTATACACACTGATTGGGATTATGTGTAGTAAGTAGTGAAGGAGATTGACGATAGTTTTTTTTACCAAATGCCCATAGAGCCAACCAGCTGTATGCCATGTTTTACATTTATTGTTGATCATTAATGAGCTCATAGTTACAAAAGTTGATGTGGGAGAACGTTTCGGGAAGGATTAGGTGTGAAGTTTTGCTGTATGTTGAGGGAAAAAGAAAAAAATTGGTTCTTAATTTTCAGAAAGCCATTTTTGAGACCGTGAGACAAATTGAGATAAGGAGTTAAAAGGGTGATGTGGGACAGACCTGGAAAAACTTTAAAAAACAAATTGCTTTTATTTCAATATAGGTAGATTTGTAAATAGAGGATGAGTATTTCAAGGAAGATCAAATCTATTTATATTACTTATTATTTTATTATTATTTATGGTAATAGCTAGTCACATGAGATGTAACCTCATGGTCTACTCATTAAATAAAAAGCCGTTCTTGATTTTGAAAACAACTAAGTTCATGAGTTATAGTTAGAATTATTGCTTGGTACTGAGAAGTGGTTGAATTTTGGAACATTTTGTTATTCTCTTGTGAATTAGGTTTCTTCTTATGGTTCTTTTTCCTAATTCCTTTGATATTTATTGAAATTAATTACATTGAGATTTATATTGTATTGTTTTCTTAACATGTATACCTTGTCCTGGCCAGGCACAGGTTTACTAGTTGTTTATTGGAAGTGATAAAATTTGTATTTAGTTAAAGTTTCGTCTTGGATTTCTGTTTTTATATTTAATAAATTGTTTTTATTTAAGCATGGTTGTAGTGGTGTTTTGTTTGGTCTGTTACAAAGTTAGTGGGAAAAATACTACGAGTGTCTGATTAAAGAACGTTGAGAATGAGAAATCGTACAGTGAAATATAATATAAATGAAAGCCAACACGGATTCATTAAAGAAAAATCTTAACCTACTAATCTTTTTTTTTTTTCTTCTCGAGGATTTTACTTAACCCCAGCTATCCTACAAATTTATCACCAATTTCCAAAGCTTCCTCACTACTCAAGAATAAAGTGTCATTAATGAATATCTTTAGAACTTCCCCAAAAAATAACTAGTACCTAACCTGGTTAATTGGAGCTCATTTTCTAGCCTATAAATCATTTTTACTCTAAAAATTATCCCACGGATTCAACCAGCCCACACATTGCTCCGAGCACATCCCTGATAATCTTTCCCACATGTTGCTCTGAGCATATCCCTGATAATCTTTCATTTATGCCTTAGATCCTGCTAAGAAATTAATTCCCAAGTCGAGCCTAAATGGGCACTTGCAAAAGGCCATGAGTTTATTTCTATCCCTAAACCTATGAAACATTTTTATATTTTTTGAGCAGCTCTTCCAATTTACAATCTTCAACATCATTTGCTCCTACATGCACTACACAAAGAGACTATTCCTTGCAACTGAATTGTTAACAGGCTCTATAATTTCCTGTAATTTAAGCCCTGGCAAGAAAATTCTAGTCTGAGTCTCTGTATTTTTCCCTCTATTAATAACTTTACCATCACACTCAAACTCACCCCAGATGGTACAAATGAACCAAGAAGTGTAGTTAAGCTCCAGAACAAAACTCCACAGCCAATAATGAACTTTCGGTTGTACCTGTCTCCAAGGTAACCAAAGACTGGAGCCATAACCATGTAGCTAATAACAAAGATTGTCTGTAACAGACCTGCCTCGGAATTATCTAACTCATAATATTCTTTGATATCTGTCAAAACTCCTGGAAATCAAAATAGGAAGGAAATCAATACTGTGAGCATATGCTACACATGTAAACATTTTGTGGTCAGCAATAATCATAAATACTTAGAGTATTTACAGACACATCGATTACAAGACAAAAAAATATGAGTAATCATTTTTATATACAAATCACTAGTTAGGCCTCACTTGAAATACTGGGCACAGTTTTCATTTTCTCATGTAAAAAAGGATATGGTTTTACTGAAAATGGTTTAGAGGAGGGTTATCTTACAGGCAGGAGAGGGAACTACAAGCCATGCAATTGTACAGGGTGAGTGGCAAGTTGAAGGATTTTAGATATACCTCGTCTCTGCTGTACTTGATCAACGGAATGGCAATGTTGGTTTCTTTATACAGTCCCAAATTTGTACCTTTCCTGCCACCTTTATGGAACCATCACAGTTCTATTATAGTGTCATGGCAATTCATCTAGGGATATACAGATGCCTTTTTCTTTTTACTTTGGTGTGGCTTGTTATTCAATAATCTTTCAGTCTGGTTATTTTTTTTTTCATGAAGGTGTGACCTTTGTTTAGTGCAGTTGTGATAAACAGGCATATGTTTTCTATCTGTTTTCATGAATATAGCAATCTTTTAAATTTTCGTTTAATTAGCTTCTATGCAGTTTTGGCATAAGCATGTGGTTCAAGCAAATGTTGAAGTTGTCTCTGTTCTTTCTAGCTGATGGTATCTACTCTGCCCGAGTGAATGTTGTTGTACATCCATGATAAAAGGGTCAGTGACTGCAACATCCTTTTCTGGCCAAATAGACGATGTATGTATGTTACAGCCAATGAATGCTGTGGGAGAATGGCTACTCATGTATTGATGCTATTACAACACAAACAATGGGAGTTTCTGTAATAGTTCTACTTGGTTTTCATCATGTTTGATTAGACAGAGATCTTTCCGGGGAGAAAGCTGCCAATTCAAGCAATTATCTATTAGAGGCAACTGTCTGCTTGTCCACAAACACGTTTTTTTTTGCTTTATGCCATGATAAAAACCGTTTTACACTTAATATTTATGTATCCAGTTTGTTTATTTCGCACTGCTTAAAACTAAAACTTAGTTCAAGTTTTCAAATTCAGATTACTTTAAAATTTCCAATTCAATCCTGTTTTTAAATGGACTTATCTAATATTTTGCGAGGAAACCAGTTCACCTGAGAATACCACAAAATTTTGCTATTCTCAAGAATATTCATGATGTAGTGAACTATATTTCTTTGTCTTCTATTAATGAAGGCGAAACTGATGTCTACCATCTCAAAAACACTTCACATATTAAAAACTATAAACAAGATGGAACTTGTGACTACCATCTCAAAAACACTTCACGCATTAAAAACTATAAATAAGGTGGAACTTATGACTACCATCTCAAAAACACTTCATGTATTAAAAACTATAAATAAGGTGAAACTTATGTCTACCATCTCAAAAACACTTCAGGTATTAAAAACTATAAATGGATTAGAAATAAATGTAACTACCCAAGAGATGACAGTGACATCTGGAGATAAACTGTTTATCATGCGATTGTTATTGGAAAATGTTGAGTGGTATTTATTCATTTTGACAACTTATTTTTGTACTAAATTTTTTTCTTCATCTTCTAGCTTACTGAAATTCTGTGTTAGTTATGTTAACAGTTGGTATTTATCAAAACGTACTGTACATTGTGTAGTGATCTAGTCTATAATCACAATGTTATTACATATCTCGTAAAAGAAGAAATGTTATGGTGAGCATCATTGTCCAGTTTCTCTGACAGTTTCTGATCTGTTATAGAGTTTGTATTTATTCATGTTCTAAGATTGTAAATCTAGCTTATATACATGTTTTGGTCTACTTCAACTTGATGAAAAACTCTCAGATACAATTTAAAAATTGAAGAGTGTACTAGATAGATTTCAGTTGGAATGGACCACGTCTCTGATATTTTATCCTCTCATACTTCGGAAGATTCTGGTATTGAAGAAGCCACCAACTCTGAATAAGCTAGAGAGAGAGAAATTTTTTAATCAGGACTCCTTGCAGGGATCTGATTTGTCTAATGCTTTTTGTTTGCAGATCTAGGTTGAAGTTTTGACTAACACTTTAGTTAATTTATCAACTTTTCCTCACTTCTTGGATGAAGTAGTTTTGTCTCAATTATTTCCAACATGCTATCATGTTCAATTATCTCCTCCATCTAGCCATGGTGGTGGTTATTATCTTTGCCCTTGTTTTCCTCCATGACGATAGCTATCATCTTTACCTTCCTCCTCCTCCTCCATCGAGTCATGATGATGACGACTATAATTTTCATACTTATGTACGTCCATAAATTACTACAGATTGGTCCCATCATCACTGGACTCACCCTTTTTATTCTAACAGATCAGATGTATAGCTGAGAACAAACAGTTTTTCTTGGTGTAGAGAACAGGTGATGAACCAACCGAGCATCACTTGTTATTTAAGATGTGGGCATCTGTTGGCAAATAATTCTCCACACATAACCACTCACTACTTACCTTATGAACAATTTCCTCTACAAAGTCCTAAACCACTAGTACAAGTCAAACTACGTTTTCATAACTCAACAATTAGTCATATGACAGCAGCTGATGTTGATCTGAATCATGTACCATGTGTTTATTGTTGATTTGTTCCTTACAGAGTGGTATGTAAAGTTTTGTAAACATGCACATGATATTCACACAAACTGAACTGAACTAGAGAAATATAAAGAAAAGAATAATGGAAGTTGGGCAGCTAGCTGTTTGCATAACTCTGTACATGCTATATTAGGTACTATAAAAGCACCTATTATCAATTAATAGTATTAGTATGCTGGTTATGATGTATTATTGTAAAATATTGTTTCTGCCATTCATCACATACATTATTTGTCCAATGTATGTGAATTGTGTCTTGTATTATATATAATGTTTAAATAAACAGTTATTGAGTTGAGGATAAAGTAGACATGTCAGTGTCACGTGCATTTTGGGTTCTTGGTGATATTTAGTAGCTTCCCACATAACTATGAAAGTACAGGGTCTTTAAACTATGTTATATTGAATTTAATTATAACAACCATTGGAAACATTTTCAAACTGTTGTGAAAATAATCATAAAATATATTTAAAAAATCCTTTTTTTGTCATGCAAAACATCAGTTTTTCATTTTATTTTTGAAGATATAAAAATAAACCTTTACCATGCTATATAATAAAAAAGATAAACTGATTCAACTTAAAATTTCAATTTGTAAAAAATATAAAATGAAGTACAAAAATTTAGTAATTTTGAATCATTACGTAGAAATTTGCCTTTGGTAGTTTCTAACTGATCATGTAAATATTTTAAGTGTTTTTATAACTAATTAATTCTAAAGAAACTGTATACAAATAACTATGCTGCTGGTTATAGTTTTAAAAGTTATAAAACACTGACGCTGTTTGCATAGAATAGTAAAAGCTGAAAAGTAAACTACTCACATGATTATTTTGTTCAAATTCTAGTTTATACAAAATGCAACTTTTGATACAATGTAATTTGTGGAAAATCAAGAAAAGCAGCCGTAATTTGGAAATAGCGTTAGTAATACTAGTACTACTACTATGTACAAATGACATTGACAGTTTAATTAATTTGTAAACTTTAGTTTAACTCTGCGCCTGAAATAAGTTGGTTTTGTCTTACCTGCAACTGTAAATCTATCCATATAATTTATGAGATTGACAAAAAATAAGATTCCTACACAAATGTAGGATCTCCTAGGGTATATTTTGTCTCTTGCAGGATGAATACTGGGACATCCCTCTAAATCAGAAAGTCTACGGGTGTTTGGAAGAGAACTAGCGACAGGTCTCACATCCACTGTCGCATCTCTCTCTGACGACTCTGAAAGTGAAAGCGCATGTTTTGGGAGATGTTCATAGGCTTCTGCGGTTCTTGAACTTCTTCTGATCATTTCACGCATACTTATTACATCTACTGTCTTTTCCATACTCTTCTAGAAAATTAAAAAAAAACAAAATGCATAAACCAACAACATGACAATTCTTTATGTGTAAAGCTTTATGAGATTACCAAAAACATATTATTTTTTAAAAACAAACACGCCCCATTTAGACCTCCTGTAGGTTTAAGCGCTAGATCTTAAGCCTCTATGAAGGGCGATTTCTGAGCATGCGTAAAATTGTAAAATAATTTTATTTTTATTTTTCAAAATGGCGGTGTTACGAATGAAGAAATAACCAGTTGTTGTTACTTTATGTTAATGTGTTTTGAAATCTTTTCCACTATGGTCACACAAAAACCAGTGGAATGGGTCTCTGCCCTCATTATAAGATTCGAAGAACAGGTATGCAGTTTTATAGTTTTTCCATTTATCCGTCACCACATCCAATTTCAAATGCCAAACGACCGTAAAATGTTTTACTACTAGTACTACTACTCAGTTGAACTAGAATAACACTAGTAATAATATTATAATTTATAGTATTAGTAATGTAGTACAAGTAGTAGTAGACGTATCATTTACCGCTCCTCGATAATTTTGTCAATGAAAAGATTTGATCCTCCCTATCCTTTGATTTGTTTGTTTGTTTGTTTTTAATTATGCACAAAGCTACACAAGGGCTATCTGTGCTCTGCCCACCACGGGTATCGAAACCCGGATTCTAGCGTTGTAAGTCCGCAGACATACCGCTGTGCCACTGGGGACCTATCCTTTGATAGAAAATAGTGAAGGATTCTAAGTTAGGGTGCGATATGTACCAGGTTGAGTTATTTTTGAGAATTGTTGATTTGTCTTTCACTTTCAGGAAACTCAGAAAGACAGTAATCACTAAGTTAGTAAGTGAGTAAATCAGTATACTACACTTGCAAGGCTTGCTTGAAGAAAAGTTAGAAATAGCTTTGGGAATAGTGGTGCTGTTACAGTGTTAGAATTACAAAATACAAGCAGGAAAGGAAACGACAGGAAGTGGATAGAGTTAAAGTTTATTTTGGCTTTTGGGGGAGGTTGAGAAAGAGGGTGTAAATGTGCATTAGTAGTAGAACATGTTAGTATTAGAGACAAGTTCATTTAGCATTCACGATTCAGGTACTAACTATTGTCTCAAATATAACGTGTAATATAATGTTGACTGTTACTGCTAGCAGTGAGGAACAAGATTATTACTGTTAGGAGGTTTAAAACGTAAGGGACTCACACTAATATAAACTGGATATTTATACACTAAACTAGTATAAACTGGATATTTATATATTCATACATTCACTAATATAAACTGGATATTTATACATTAAATATCCAGTTTATATTAGTGAATGTATAACTATCCAGTTTATATTAGTTTAATGTATAAATATCTAGTTTATATTAGTGAATGTATAAATATCCAGTTTATATTAGTGAATGTATAAATATCCAGTTTATATTAGTTTAATGTATAAATATCCAGTTTATATTAGTTTAATGTATAAATATCCAGTTTATTTTAGTGAATGTATAAATATCCAGTTTATATTAGTGAATGTATAAATATCCAGTTTATATTAGTTTAATGTATAACTATCCAGTTTATATTTAGTGAATGTACAAGTATCCAGTTTACATTTAGTGAATGTATAAATATCCAGTTTACATTTAGTGAATGTACAAATATCCAGTTTATATTATTGAATGTATAAATATCCAGTTTATATTAGTGAATGTATAAATATCCAGTTTATAT